TGCAAGCTCCGCCTCCCAGGTTCATGCCATTCTCCTGCCTCAGCTTCTTGAGTAGCTGGGACTATAGGCACCCGCCACTACACCCAGCTAATTTTTTTTTATTTTTAGTAGAGATGGAGTTTCACCATGTTGGCCAGGATGGTCTTGATCTCCTGACCTCGTGATCCGCCCCCCTCGGCCTCCCAAAGTGCTGGGATTACAGGTGTGAGCCACTGCGCCTGGCTAAATTTTGTATTTTTAGTAGACACAGAGTTTCACCATGTTGGCCAGGCTGGTCTCGATCTCCTGACCTCAGGTGATCTGCCCACCTCAGCTTCCTGAAGTGATGAGATTACAGGTGTGAGCCACCGTGCCCAGCTGTATTATTATTTTTTCATAGATGAGGCAGCTAAGATTCAGAGAGGTAAAGTAACTTACTCAAGGTCACACAGTCAGTTAGCAACAGAGTCAAATATAAACCAAGATTTATCTGACTCCATAGTTAATGCAGCATGCTACCTCCAAACTTAAACACAGAAACACACACACAGACACACACCAGATCTGTCCTCCTTTGCACCTAAGAGGATGGGGCTCCTCACCTAGCAGTTGCAGGTATTTGTGGAAGTGAGCATTGAGTTGCCCAGCCATTCACACTCCCTCCTGACAAATGGCATCAAGTCATTCAACAAACACTTGTCCAGCCTGGGCAACACAGGGAGGCTTCATCTCTACAAAATATAAACATAAAAAAATTAGCTGGGTTTAGGCCGGGCGCAGTAGCTGACGACTGTAATCCCAGCACTTTGGGAGGCCAAGGTGGGTGGATCACGAGGTCATGTGTTCGAGACCAGCCTGGGCAACATAGTGAAACTCTGTCTCTACTAAAAATACAAAAATTAGCCGGGCGTGGCTGGGCGTGGTGGCTCACATCTGTAATCCCAGCACTTTGGGAGGCTGAGGCGGGTGGATTACCTGAGGTCAGGAGTTCGAGACCAGCCTGGCCAATGTGGTGAAACCCTGTCTCTACCAAAAATACAAAAATTTTCCGGGCATGGTGGCACACCCCTGTAATCCTAGCTATTTGAGAGGCTGAGGCGGGAGAATTGCTTGAACCTGAGAGGCGCAGGTTGCAGTGAGCCAAGACCGTGCCACTGCACTCCAGCCCAGGAGACAGTGTGAGACTCCATCTCAAAAAAAAAAAAAAGTTATCTTAGTGGTGTGTGCCTGTGTTCCCAGCTACTCAGGAGGCTGAGGTGGGAGGATTGCTTGAGCCCAAGAGGTGGAGGCTGCAGTGTGCCATGATTGTGCCACTGCACTCCAGCCTGGGTAAGGGAGTAAGTAAGACTCAGTCTCAAAACAAAAACAAAAACAAACTCATTTTCTGAGTGTCTTCGATGTGCCACATGCTGGTTCACAAAGGTGAAAAGTCACAGTCTTGCTCTGAAGAAGTACTAAGTCCAGCAGGGAGGCCGGGGCGTGGTGGTTCATACCTGTAATCCCAGCTACTTGGGAGGCTGAGGCAGGAGAATCGTTTGTACCCAGGAGGCGGAGGTTGCGGTGAGCCGAGATCAAGCCATTGCGCTCCAGCCTGGGCAACAGCCAGACTCGGTCTCAGATTAAAAAAAAAAAAAAAAAAAAAAAGTGGTGTGGAAAGGGATTGATGCTGACTGGGATGCTGATTGGTTGGGAGACCAGATAAAGCAGGGAGGCAGAGGCCAGAGCGCTGCAGGTCCTGGGGATTTTATATGTCATCCTCCTGTGACTGGGAAGGATTGAAGAACTTTTCAGTGGAAAAATAGGATCCCATTTGCATGTTAGAAAGAAACCAGGCCGGGTGCAATGGCTCACGCCTGTAATCCTAGCACTTTGGGAGGCCGAGGTAGGTGGATCATTTGAGGTCAGGAGTTCGAGACCAGCCTGGCCAACATGGTAAAACCCCGTCTTTACTGAAAATAGGAAAGTTAGCTGGGCGTGGTGGCGGGCGCCTGCAATACCAGCTACTTGGGAGGCTGAAGCAGGAGAATCAATTAAACCCAAGAGGCGGAGGTTGCAGTGAGCCGAGATCGCGCCACTGCACTCCAGCCTGGGCGACAGAACGAGATTCAGTTTCCAAAAAAAAAAAAAAAAAGAAAGGAAAAGAAAGGAGCGGGGTCAGGATTAGGCGTCATGGGGCCCAGATTTCCCCCGGCCTGATCTCACCTGAATCAGTGCTGAACCAGCCGACTGGGCCGAGGAGCCGCTTGGGGGCGACCGAGAGCCCATCCATTTCCCCTTTAAGACCAGAGCGGAAGAGTAGAGCGAGAAAGACCTTTGTGTCGGCGGGGAATAAATATGCCCGCCCCTTTAAGAAGGCGGAGACGCCCGAGTGGCGGCGTCTTCGAATGAGGTCTGAGGCGCTGCCCCCAGTCTTCCGGCGACTTTCCCTACATCGCGGAGACGCTGCCTTCTGACCCCACCCTGGGAGCACTATCCCTCGGAGTCCTAAACTTCCACCTGGGTCGTATCCGAGGTCCCGGCGACTCTCCGGACTCGGGGTGCCGGGCCAACTTTCCCGCCGAGGCCCACCCGCCGTCGCCATGGTAATGCCGCGCCCAGCCTGGGGGTCGGCGGGCCGCAGGGCCCCCCTGGCCTCTGGAACTGCTGGTGGGGTTCCAGCCCCTCGCCCGGGCGCGCTGCAGGACCGGGGTCTGGATGGAGGTTCGGGAGAGTCGGGAGACCTGGGGTCTCGGCAGGGCTTGTCATGGACGCGCAGGAGACCCTGAGAAAGCATTCTTCTCTCCTGGGCCTCAGTTTCCCTTCTGTTGCCTTCCTACTCTCCTGGGAAACCTCCTTTTCCAGTGTGCTCAGACGTCACTACCGCTTGGGTCCATCCCTTTCCCCTCTCCGCCCCACCCGTTCCACTTTTTTTTTTGGACGAAGTCTCGTTCTGCCGCTCAGGCTGGAGTCCAGTGGCGCGATCTCGGCTCACTGCAACCGCCGCCTCCCCTCCACCCCTTTCTCTCTGACCCTTAGAGTCTTGGGAACTGTATCGCCAGCTGTAGTTCCTGCAGCTCTGGTATCTGGGATTAGGCACCACCTCTGCTCTGGGTTTGACACTCGTCTGGAGTTGGCTACAGCAGCCCTGCTGGCTAGAAAGAAGGAACCGTGGGCTGGGGTATCCTACTCTCCTGGGACCCTAGTTTTTGGGCCTTGGATTAGATAGGGAAACTACTGGCTTCATTTACAGAAACAATGCCACTTTGGATGTGTTTGGATTTATGGTAGTTTCTCTCATGTTTGACATTAGATTCGTCAGGGGAAACCTTTGAGATATTGCAAAATCCTTAGGCCCAAGCCAGGTGCCGCGACTGACACCTACTTTTGTTTGTTTGCTTGTTTGCTTTTTTGAGACAGAGTCTCACTCTGTGGCCCAGGCTGGAGTGCGGTGGTGCGATCTCCGCTCACTGCAACGTCAACCTCCCAGGTTCAAGCAATTCTCCTGCCTCAGACTCCCAACAAGCTGGGATTACAGGCGGGCACCACCACCCCCGCTAATTTATTTCTATTTTTAGTAGAGATGAGGTTTCACTTTGTTGGCCAGGCTGCTCTTGAACTCCTGGCCTCAGGTGCTGCACCTGCCTCGGCCTCTCAAAGTGCTGGGATTACAGGAGTGAGCCACAACGCACAGCCTGTGGCTGATACCTATAATCCCAGCACTTTGGAGGCCACGGTGGGAGGATCACTTGAGCCCAGGAGTTCAAGACGAGCCTGGGCAACATAGTGAGGCCCTATATCTACAAAAATTTAAAAATTAGGCTGGGCGCAGTGGCTCACACCTATAATCCCAGCACTTTGGGAGGCCAAGGCGGGCAGATCACAAGGTCAGGAGTTCAAGACTAGCCTGGCCAACATGGTGAAACCCTGTCTTAACTAAAAATACAAAAAAATTAGCCAGGCATTGTGGCTTGGCCTGTAATCCCAGCTACTCGAGAGGCTGAGGCAGAAGAATTGCTTGAACCGGAGAGGTGGAGGTTGCAGTGAGCTGAGATCGTGCTGCTGCACTCCAGCCTGGGTAACAGAGCAAGAAGGAAAAAAAAAAAAAAGAAAATTAGCTAAGCATGGTGGCGGACACCGGTAGTCCCAGTTATGAAGGAGGTTGAGGTGGGATGGTCACTTGAGCCTAGGAGATTGAGGCTGCAGTGAGCTATGATCTCGCCATTGCACTCCAACCTGGGCAACAGGGCAAGACCCTGTCTAAAAGGACAAAAACAAAATGTTTACGCCCATGTGCATAGTCCTGGAGAACTGCCATTGCTCCCCTAGGCAGCCTTCCCTTTGTCCCTTTTCTTTCCTTCCAGGATTGGTGCAGATGGTTCTGAGTGGATTGTGTTACAAGAAAGTGTTTTAATCTTTTTTTTTTTTTTTTTTTAAGAGAGTCTCTGCCACCCAGGCTGGAGTGCAGGTGGCACAATCTTGGCTCACGGCAACCTCTACCTCCCGGGTTCAAGCAATTATCCTGCCTTAGCCTCCCAAGTAGCTGAGATTATAGGCATGCTCCACCAGGCCCGGCTAATTTTTTAATTTTTTTTTTGAGACAGTCTCACCCTGTTGCCCATGCTGGAGTGCAATGGCGTGATCTCGGCTCACTGCAACCTCTACCTCCCGGTTCAAGAGATTCTCCTGCCTCAGCCTCCTGAGTAGCTGGGATTACAGGTGCCCACCACCACGCTCAGCTAATTTTTTGTATTTTTAGTAGAGACAGGGTTTCAATATGTTGGCCAGGCTGGTCTCGAACGTCTGACCTTGTGATCTGCCCCCACCTCAGCCTCCCAAAGTTCTAGAATTACAGGCGTGAGCCACCACTCCTGGCCTAATTTTGTATTTTTAGTAGAGATGGGGTTTCACCATGTTAGTCAGGCTGGTCTCGAACTCCTGACCTCAGATGATTCACCAGCCTTAGCCTCCCAAAGTGTTGGAATTATAGGCATGAGCCACCGTGCCTGGCAGAAAGTGTTTTAATCTTTTTCTAAGAAGTGGGTTTCACTGTGTTGCCTAGGCTAGCCTCAAACTCCTGGACTCTAGGGATCCAGCCACCTCAGCCTCCCAAGTAGCTGGGACTGCGGGAATGAGCCACTACACACAGCTAAGTAAGTTTTTTAGAACACTTAGGTCTTTTTTTTTTTTTTTTTTTTTTTAAAACTCTCCCCTCTGTTGCCCAGACTGGAGTGCAAGCTCCGCCTCCCGGGTTCAAGCAATTCTCCTGTCTCAGCCTCCCAAGTAGCTGGGATTACAGGCATGAGCCACCATGCCCAGTTAACTTTTGTATTTTTAGTAGAGACGAGGTTTCTTCATGTTGGCCAGGCCTGACCTCAGGAGATCCACCTGCCTCAGCCTCCCCAAGTGCTGGGATTACAGGCGTGAGCCACCACGCCCGGCCCTAGATCATTTAAGTCTTTAACAAAATGCCGTTTCTTTTCATTCCTTAGTCCTTTCCCAGCCGTTGCAAAAACAAACAAAAAACAATATACCTGATGGTATTGTTAGTGCTGGGAAGAAGCAGAGTGAGGACAGAATGTGCTTGCAAATGGTATTTCTCAACCCCAGTTGGTTTGTTTTCTTTTCAGGCGTGCAGTTTGCAGAAGCTGTTTGCTGTGGAAGAGGAGTTTGAAGATGAGGTAGGGAAGTGTTGGTGATCAGAGGTGGCAGATAAAGTCTTAAAATATAAACACTCAGGTTCAGAACATCTTGGAGTAACCTGTACCAGCCTCCTTTTAGTTGATATGTGTATGTTTTTGCCTGTGAGATGCTGAGAAGTGATGAGAAATGTAAACAAACTACTTAAGTGTCTTAGAAACAAAAAACCAGAGAGATGAGTTGCCTAATTGTCATACCTTTCGTTTATAAGGGCTCTTTCCTGGAAGATGTGTCATCTAGCTGATTTAATTCACCTCGGTGATAACATATTTGTGGTGGGAAAGGCAGTGTATGTAGAGCCAGAACCATGTAACAGACAGCATAGTTACTGAAGAGCAGGAGGCCAGGGGTCAGCAATTGGCTATGTGAATCAGGGCAAGTTACTTTATTCTCTAGTCTTCTGTTTTCTCTTCTGCAATATGAGGGATGCTCTTCTGTCTCAGATTTCTTCCTTTCCCTCTGTCTAATCACAAAATAGGGGGTGCGACTAGATCCAAAGCTCACACATTAGAATTACCCTTGTCTAGGCCCTACCACACACCAATTAAATCGGAATTTCTGGGAATGGCCCAGCCAGGGATAATTCTTTTTTTTCTTTTCTTCAACATTTATTTTAAGTTCAGGGGTACATGTGCAGGTTTGTTACATAGGTAAACATGTGCCATGGTGGTTTGCTGCACAGATCATCGCATCACCTAGGTAATAAGCCCAGCATGCATTAGCTATTCTTCCTGGTGCTCTCCACCTCCCTGCCTGTGGCAGCCCCTAGTATGTGAACTTCTTTCTTTCTTTTTTTTTTTTTTTGAGACGGAGTCTGGCTCTGTCGCCCAGGCTGGAGTGCAGTGGCCGGATCTCAGCTCACTGCAAGCTCCGCCTCCCGGGTTCAAGCAATTCTCCTGTCTCAGCCTCCCAAGTAGCTGGGATTACAGGCATGAGCCACCATGCCCAGTTAACTTTTGTATTTTTAGTAGAGACGAGGTTTCTTCATGTTGGCCAGGCCTGACCTCAGGAGATCCACCTGCCTCAGCCTCCCCAAGTGCTGGGATTACAGGCGTGAGCCACCACGCCCGGCCCTAGATCATTTAAGTCTTTAACAAAATGCCGTTTCTTTTCATTCCTTAGTCCTTTCCCAGCCGTTGCAAAAACAAACAAAAAACAATATACCTGATGGTATTGTTAGTGCTGGGAAGAAGCAGAGTGAGGACAGAATGTGCTTGCAAATGGTATTTCTCAACCCCAGTTGGTTTGTTTTCTTTTCAGGCGTGCAGTTTGCAGAAGCTGTTTGCTGTGGAAGAGGAGTTTGAAGATGAGGTAGGGAAGTGTTGGTGATCAGAGGTGGCAGATAAAGTCTTAAAATATAAACACTCAGGTTCAGAACATCTTGGAGTAGCCTGTACCAGCCTCCTTTTAGTTGATATGTGTATGTTTTTGCCTGTGAGATGCTGAGAAGTGATGAGAAATGTAAACAAACTACTTAAGTGTCTTAGAAACAAAAAACCAGAGAGATGAGTTGCCTAATTGTCATACCTTTCGTTTATAAGGGCTCTTTCCTGGAAGATGTGTCATCTAGCTGATTTAATTCACCTCGGTGATAACATATTTGTGGTGGGAAAGGCAGTGTATGTAGAGCCAGAACCATGTAACAGACAGCATAGTTACTGAAGAGCAGGAGGCCAGGGGTCAGCAATTGGCTATGTGAATCAGGGCAAGTTACTTTATTCTCTAGTCTTCTGTTTTCTCTTCTGCAATATGAGGGATGCTCTTCTGTCTCAGATTTCTTCCTTTCCCTCTGTCTAATCACAAAATAGGGGGTGCGACTAGATCCAAAGCTCACACATTAGAATTACCCTTGTCTAGGCCCTACCACACACCAATTAAATCGGAATTTCTGGGAATGGCCCAGCCAGGGATAATTCTTTTTTTTCTTTTCTTCAACATTTATTTTAAGTTCAGGGGTACATGTGCAGGTTTGTTACATAGGTAAACATGTGCCATGGTGGTTTGCTGCACAGATCATCGCATCACCTAGGTAATAAGCCCAGCATGCATTAGCTATTCTTCCTGGTGCTCTCCACCTCCCTGCCTGTGGCAGCCCCTAGTATGTGAACTTCTTTCTTTCTTTTTTTTTTTTTTTTGAGACGGAGTCTGGCTCTGTCGCCCAGGCTGGAGTGCAGTGGCCGGATCTCAGCTCACTGCAAGCTCCGCCTCCCGGGTTCACGCCATTCTCCTGCCTCAGCCTCCCGAGTAGCCGGGACTACAGGCGCCCGCCACCTCGCCCGGCTAGTTTTTTGTAGTTTTTAGTAGAGATGGGGTTTCACCGTGTTAGCCAGGATGGTCTCGATCTCCTGACCTCGTGATCCACCCGTCTCGGCCTCCCAAAGTGCTGGGATTACAGGCTTGAGCTACCGCGCCCGGCCTGAACTTCTTTCTTTATTTGGAGATAAGATCTCTTTCTGTCACCCAGGCTGGAGTGCAGTGGCACAATCACGGCTCACTGCAACCTCGACCTCCCAGGCATAAGTGATCCTCCCACCTCAGCCTCCTCAGTAGCTGGGCCTACAGGTGTGTGCCGCCATGCACAGCTAATTTTTATTTTTTTTATAGAGATAGGGTCTTACTAAGTTGCCCAGGCTGGTCTCGAATTCCTGACTCAAGTGATCCTTCTGCCTAGGCCTCCCAAAGTGCTAGGATTACAGGTGTGAGCCAGCAGGCCCGTCCTGATTTTTGTTTTTACAAATAATTCACAACTGCTGTTTTGTCAAGGAGATGTGTCCTTGTCTTTGTCTTTCAGCTTTGGAGATGTGTGATTACAGGCTGAAAAGGTGACTGTTAAAATGACCCTCTTGGGTCTTACCAGGTGATGATGGGACTGCTAGGCAAGTAATTTACTTTCCTCTAGTAAAGGACTCTGACAGCTGAAGTTTCTGTTCCCTGAAAATGGCAGATCAGTCCCTTCCCCCTTCCTAAAGCAGATGACATCATGTCTGAGAGTGAGCTCTTTGGGAGAAAAAAGATCATCAACCTCCAGAGTCATCAGGATTTTATTACTGCTATAGTTCTGGTCATTATTATTATTGTTGAGTTCTATGGTGGTCCTGCCTGAGTATGAGACTCACTTAATAATGCACAAAGCAGGAAAAAGCCTTTCTCTAGCCCAGACAATCCAGTGCGGCAGCAGAGGGTGAGGGTGGTGGGGACCCTCCTGTCAGTTAAATCAGCAGTTCTGACTCAAAACCACCCTCAGAACAGGTCTGTTGCTCTTGAAGGTGTCAATCTCACCTTGCTTCCCAACTGGAATCCATACTTTATTTAACTTGCCTGAAAAGCTATATTTAACTTCTGCCTTTTTTGCTGGCTCCAAGGCCTCTCTGGCTTACTGAAGGGTAGCTATCTCTGTGGTGTGTGTGTGTGTGTGTGAGAGAGACAGAGAGCACACGAGTGTGTTTTGGGGATGAAGAGTGAGCTAAGGACAGGCAGCATGACCAGCTGGATAGATCCCTGTTTAGATAACAGGCCAGACATCAGAAAGTGGTCTCGTTGAGATGGTTGTTGTGTGACCTAGGGTGATTTGTCTGACTTCTTGGTGCCCTGGAACATTTGCTTCTCCTGCTGTCTTCCTCTAACTGCCCGTCTCCCCACCCATGAAGACTGAAGAAAGAGAAGCTACCTGAAGACTTAGCCTTAGATTGGAGTGTTTTTGATAGAGCCTTGTGTAGGCCCATGGGTGAGGTCAGAGGTGGTAAGAGACAGAGAAACCACCATTGCCTTTCATGCTTTGGTTTCTTTTTCTTTCTTTCTTTCTTTCTTTTTTTTTGAGACAGTCTTACTGTGTCACCCAGGCTGGAGTGCAGTGGCACAATCTCGGCTCACTGCCAACCTCTGCCTCTCAAGTTTAAGCGATTCTCCTACCTCAGCCTCCTGAGTAGCTAGAATTACAGGTGTGCACCCCCATGCCCAGCTCATTTTTTTATTTTTAGTAGAGACAAGGTTTCGCCATGTTGGCCTGGCTGGTCTCGAACTCCTGACCTCAAGTGATCCTCCTACTTTGGCCTCCCAAAGTGCTGGGATTACAGGCATAAGCCACCATGCCCGACCCTCATGCTTTGGTTTCTTTCAAGTGTCTACACACAAACATACATGTTATGTTCCTGAACAGTAAAAGCAGAGGGGTTCTTGATTTCCAGATGCCAAGACCTACCATCTCTGCTTCCTTGTAGGATTTCTTGTCTGCTGTGGAGGATGCAGAGAACCGGTTTGCTGGCTCACTGCCTGTGAATGCTGGGCGTCTGAGACCTGTCTCTTCTAGGCCACAGGAGACTGTGCAGGCACAGTCCTCCAGGCTGCTGCCGTTACACCCCACTGCTCCCTCAGAGGCTTTGGGCCTGCCAGACCTGGACCTCTGCCTCCCTACCTCCAGCATGCCCAGTGCCGACAGCCGTCCATCATGCATAGGAACAGCTCCCCTAAGGCCTGTCTCTACTTCCAGCAGCTGGATTGGCAATCAGAGAAGAGTGACAGTGACAGAAGTGCTCAGAGAGCCAGCAAGACCTCAATCCTCAGCCCTACACCCCCTACTCACCTTTGAGAGCCAACAGCAGCAAGTTGGTGGCTTTGAGGGGCCTGAACAAGACGACTTTGATAAAGTCCTGGCAAGCATGGAGTTGGAGGAGCCTGGCATGGAGCTGGAATGTGGAGTCAGCAGTGAGGCCACACCAATCCTGCCTGCCCAGCAGCGGGAGGGTTCAGTATTGGTTAAAAAGGCCTGGTTAGTTGATCTGAGTGGATCTTGCCAGAAGGAGCCCGTGCCTGCCACCCACACAGCGGGCATCATGTCAGCCCAGGATGAGTCTCTAGATCCTGTCGTCCAATGTAGGACTCCACGACCCCCCTTGAGACCTGGTGCTGTGGGTCACCTTCCTGTTCCAACTGCCTTAACAGTTCCCACTCAGCAACTCCACTGGAAAATCTGTCCACAAGGCCCCTCTGTTCAAGCACTTCAGCCTCTCCAACCTGCTAGAGGGACCATTCAGAGCAGCCCTCAAAATCGTTTCCCTTGTCAGCCATTCCAGTCTCCAAGTTCCTGGTTAAGTGGCAAAGCTCATTTACACAGACCTCGAACTCCCAACTCAAGCTGTTCTACTCCCTCAAGGACTAGTTCTGGATTATTTCCTCGGATACCCTTACATCCCCAAGCTCCACTGTCTTCCATTGAGTCTCCTGTTGGTACCCCAAAAGGTCCCCATTCCTCCCTGGGTCCCCAGGGAGCTCTGCAGACACCCATAGTCACCAACCACCTGGTGCAGCTGGTCACTGCTGCCAGCCGGACACCCCAGCAGCCCACTCATCCCTCCACCCGAGCCAAAACTCGCCGTTTCCCCGGCCCAGCTGGAATCCTGCCTCACCAGGTGAGTGAGCTGGCTTTCTAGGATTTAGGGGGCAAGGGAGAGAAGCAGGGTTCCAGCATTGTCCAGCCCTAGCATATCTTCCCTCTTGCAGGGAAGGAAGGAAGGAAGTGCAGAGAGGCTTTTCAAAGCTGTAGGAGAAATAAAAGGGAAGAATTGAATGCTAGAAAATCCACCGTGAAAGAAGTGCTTAAGGCTCTGAGGACATCATAATTTTCTTTTCCTTTTTTTTCTGTTTTTGAGATGGAGTCTTGCTGTGACGCCCAGGCTGGAGTGCAGCGGCGCGATCTCAGTTCACTAAAACCTCTGCCTCCTGGGTTTAAGCGATTCTTCTGCCTCAGCCTCTTGAATAGCGGACTACAGGCCCCCGCCACCATGCCTGGCTAATTTTTGTATTTTTAGTAGAGACAGAGTTTCACCATATTGGCCAGGCTGGTCTTGAACTCCTGACCTCAAGTGATCTGCCTGCCTCGGCCTCCCAAAATGCTGGGATTGCAGGCGTGAGCCACCACGCCTGACCCTCTTTTCCTTTTTTTTAAGAATTAGAGACTGGCTGTGTTGCTCAGGCTGGTCCTAAACTGGGCTCAAGCCATTCTCCTGCCTCAGCCTCCCATGTAGCTGGGACTACAGGTGTGTACTAGGGCAGGAAGTCATTCATGTGCATTTTTTTTTTTTATTATACTTTAAGTTCTAGGGTACATGTGCACAACATGCAGGTTTGTTACATATGTATACTTGTGCCATGTTGGTGTGCTGCGCCCATCAACTCGTCAGCACCCATCAACTCGTCAGCACCCATCAACTCGTCATTTATCATGTGCATTTAAGGACTTCCTATGTGTTGGACAATTTGCTTGGAACTGAGAATACAGAGATTAAAAGAAATAGTTCCTGTCCTGAAGAGCTTACAGTGAAATGGAAGAAACAGATGCAAACAAACAAACATGCACGAAGTGCACAGTGTGAATAGGGGTCATTCCCTGGGTGCTGGGGAGACACTGGCTCTGCCTTAGGCTTGCTGAGTGGGCTTTGGATGGATGAGTAGGAGGTTAACAGGTGTGTGGCGGAGCGGGAGCTGTGCTCTGTGGATGTTCTGGCAGTGGGAAGGCAGGGAAGAGCATATGTAAAGGCACAGAGGCAGAAGAGCAAGGTGCGCTCAGATCCACAGAACAGTTCATTGTGGCAGGTGTGGGGAAGCTGGGGCTGAAAACGAGACAGCCCTGGTGAGACTTGGATTAAACTAGTCTTGGATCAGATCCCAGATAATTGGACTCTGAGGATCTGGACTGGTTGTGATAGGTATGCCCTCTTCCTCCCATTTTAAGGGTGTTTGAAACAATTTCTGCCTGTTACTTGCTCTTCCCTAGCACGTTAGCAGACATCCAAAGAGGCTGTCTATGTTCCTCCTGGGCTGGATCTTCCTGGAGGAAAGGGTTAGGACTGGGGAAAGCTGCCCCTTTGCTCATCACAGGCTTCTCAATTTTTCTTTTTCTTTTTGAGACAGAGTCTTGCTCTGTCACCCAGGCTGGAGTGCAGTGGCACGATCACAGCTCATTGCAACCTCCACCTCCCGGGTTCAAGCGATTCTCCTGACTCATCCTCCGAGTAGCTGGAATTACAGGCATGCGCCACCACGCCTGTCTAATTTTTGTATTTTTGGTAGAGACAGGGTTTCTCCATGTTGGCCAGTCTGGTCTCGAACTCCTGACCTCAGGTAATCCACCTGCCTCAGCCTCCCAAAGTGCTGGGATTACAGGCATGAGCCACCGGGCGCCTGGCCAGGCCTCTCTATTTGGGTCACTGCCCCCTTCAGGCAGCCCTGGTTTTTGTGCCTGGGCTAGCTCCAGCTTCCTCACATTTCCAAACCAATCCCCAAAGTATCTTTTTTGAGCTGCCAAAGAGGCTCCTGAGACTTTGTTAGGAGAGATGTAATATGTGTTAATTGTCTCTGATCATTTCCTGAACTCATTATGTAATCCAGACAAAAAGCTGTACTTGTAAATAACAGTTGCTGAGCTTGCTCTCACCTCCTTCTCTCCCCTCTTAGCAGAGTGGGAGAAGTCTGGAGGACATCATGGTTTCCACACCCCAAACTCCGACCCATGGTGCTCTGGCTAAATTCCAGACAGAGGTAACTTATGCAAGTGTTAACTTTCTGGGTGTGATTTGAGAGTGAGGGGCATCCCCGTGTGTTTCAGGAGTTAAATATCAAGAGCTGATGCTGTTAGGCCTGTTTGCTGGTGTTACACACTAAAAGGCATTTGAGGCAGGTAGTTGGGGGAGGCAGCAATTTTACTGGCATTAAGCGAAGCCTGTCCTGGTGCCAGGTAGGTATTATCTGGTGCCATGGGTCCAGCCTTCTTTCCCATCTAAGAAACAAAGGCCCAGCTAGCTCCAGCTTCCCCCAGGGGAGGAGACTGTGATAAGTAGTATGAGATTGTGTCTCAGGAGCCCTTCCTCTCAGGTTTCTGACAACCGAGCTAGGAGGGATCTGCCTTCTCTTGCCTTTGCTGGGTTCCCTTTGGTGGGTGAGACCCAGCTGCCCTCCTCCTTGGGGTTCTGGTTGACCTGCTCTGCCCTCAAACCCAGTTTTGCTTTTAATTCTCCCCAGTATTTTTTCTCTGCTGTAGCTCCACAGATCCACCAGTCCATTTCAGATCCAAAGCAGCAAATACTCTCTGGATTCGAAGCATGTGTTAATGTAAGAAGGTTAATTGTTAAAGCTAGAAGCATCCCAAATAAAATATGACTGGTTTCAAAATGGCTAAGCCACTCTGGAAGCCTATAAATATATGCGGCTGATCCTATCCCTAAGATTTTGGAGTCCTGGTTACTACAAAAAATCAGCCCTTTGGATAGGCCTTCTGCTTCAATGAAGTTAAAGTAGGAACTGTTTTTTTATTATTTTATTTATTTTATTTATTTTTATTTTATTTTTATTTTATTTATTTATTTATAATTTATTTATTATTTATGTTATTTAATTTTTTTTGAGATCCAAGATCTCCGCTCTGTCGTCCAGCGCTGGAGTCGAGTGGCGTGATCTTCGGCTCATGCAACCTCTGCCTCCCTGGGGTGCCAAGCTGATTCTCCTCCTCACCCTTCCGAGTAACTGGGACGGGTACTACAGGCCGCGTTGCCACCGTATGCCCCGGCTACTTTTGTATTTTTAGTAGAGACGGGGTTTTCACCGTGTTAGCAGGATAGTCTCCATCTCCTGACCTCGTGATCTGCCCGCCTCAGCCTCCCAAAGTGCTGGGATTACAGGTGTTAGCCACTGTGCCCAGCCAATTTTTGTATTTTTAGTAGAGAGGAGGTTTCACCATGTTGGCTAGGCTGGTCTCAAACTCTTGTTTTCAGGTGATCCACCTGCCTCGGCCTCCCAAAGTGCTGGGATAACAGGTGTGAGCCACTGTGCCTGGCCCAGGAGCTGATTTTATTAAAAATTTGTTTTTCGTACCTAGTCTTGCAGATAGGACCTGATTTTACAAAGGAAAAAAAAAGAGTATCTGCTGAATGAAAGCTGTGATATGCAACAAGATTATCACATGCTTCAAATGCCAAAGCAATCAGAAAAAAAAAAAAAGAAAAAATAAAGAGGCCGGGTGCGGTGACTCATGCCTGTAATCCCATCACTTTGGGAGGCCAAGGCAGGCGGATCACAAGGTCAGGAGATCGAGACCATCCTGTGAATGGTGAAATCCCATCTCTACTAAAAATACAAAAAATTAGCCAGGCATGGTGGCAGGCGCTGTAGTCTGAGCTACTCGGGAGGCTGAGGAGGGAGAATGGCGTGAACCTGGGAGGCGGAGGTTGCAGTGAGCACTCCAGCCTGGGTGACAGAGCGAGACTTTGTCTCAAAAAAAAAAAAAAAAATTTCACATGCCATTTTCTGGCATTGGAGATAAATGAGAGGAGAGACTGTGGCCATTGTACTACAGTTTTTCCAAGGGGATTTGCCTTTCCTCTCTCACCCTTCCACCCTGTTTCAATCAACAGTCTGTAGCAAGGTAGACCTATTCATACAGGCTCCCCCTCTGCTCTGTGGTACCAGATTGTTGCTAGTTCCCAGGCATCCGTGGAGGAGGATTTTGGGCGAGGGCCCTGGCTGACCATGAAATCTGCGCTAGGCCTGGATGAGAGAGACCCTAACTGCTTCCTCTGTACCTACAGCATTGTCATGGTGCTGCGCAAGGTAAGGATTCTGGGTGCTGAGACCCATAGGAAAGACCATTTTAATCCCTCTGTCTGACCTACTGCCCTACTCCACCTTAGGAAGGGGCTGTTTGCTCCCTCGTACCCTATACGAGCAGCAGCACAAAGTCCCTTTGGTTGTATCTTCCACTTACCGACCTTTTCACTGTCATCCATAGGATTGGGCCCAGGTGGAAGGAGAGCGTGGGTTATGGCATGCTTCTGCACTTCCAGGCCCTGGATGGGGTGGGGTGAGCACACTGCCACCCTCAAATCTCCCCAGTGGTTAAGGGTTGTGCAGAGACATGCCAGTACTTGTGCCAACATATCCCTGCCTGTGACTGCTATGATGGAACACTGTGTAAACATATATAAACGAAAGTGCTGGATGCAGTGGCTCACACCTGTAATCCCAGCATTTTGGGAGGCCGAGGTGGAAGGATCACAAAGGTCAGGAGTTCGAAACCAGGCTGGGCAACAAAGCAAGACCCTGTCTCTACAAAAAAATACAAAAAAAAAAAAATGAATTAGCTGGATGTGGTGGCGCATGCCTTATAGTCCCAGCTACTAGGGAGGCTGAGGCCAGAGGATTACTTGATCTTAGGAGGTTTAGGCTACAGTGAACTATGATCATGCCACTGCACTCCAGCCTGGGCAATAGAGCGAGACCTTGTCTCCTTTAAAAAAAACCCAAGGCTGGGCATGGTGGCTCACACCTATAATCTTAGGAGGTCAAGGCGGACGGATCACCTGAGGTCAGGAGTTCAAGACCAGCCTGACCAACCTGGAGAAACTCTGTCTCTACTAAAAATACAAAATTAGCCGGGCATGTTGGCACATGCCTGTAATCCCAGCTACTCGGGAGGCTGAGGCAGGAGAATTGCTTGAATCTGGAAGGCAGAGGTTGCGGTGAGCCAAGATGCACCATTGCACTCTAGCCTGGGCAACAAGAGTGAAACTCCGTCTCAAAAAAAAAAAAAAAAACCGGCCAGGCGGGTTGGGTCACGCCTGTAATCCCAGCACTTTGGGAGGCTGAGGCGGGTGGATTACTTGAGGTCAGGAGTTCGAGACCAGCCTGGCCAACATGGTGAAACCCCATCTCTACTGAAAATACAAAAATTAGCCAGGCTTGGTGGCACACGCCTGTAATTCCAACTACTCGGGAGGCTGAGGCTGGAGAATAGCTTGAACCCAGAGGCGGAGGTTGCAGTGAGCCAAGGTCACGCCACGGTACTCCAGCCTGGGCGACAGAGCGAGACTCCATCTCAAAAATAAAAAAATAAGCCGGGCGCGGTGGCTCATGCCTGTAATCCCAGCACTTTGGGAGGGTGAGGCGGGCAGATCAGTTGAGGTCAGGAGTTCGAGACCAGCCTGGCCAACATGGTGAAACCCCATCTTTACTGAAAATACAAAAATTAGCCAGGCATGGTGGCACAAGCCTGTAATTCCAGCTATTCGGGAGGCTGAGGCTGGAGAATCACTTGAACCCGGAGGTGGAGGTTGCAGTGAGCCAAGGTCGTACCACTGTACTCCAGCCTGGGTGACAGAGCAAGACTTCATCTCAAAAATAAAAAAATAGGCCGGGTGCAGTGGCTCATGCCTGTAATCTCAGCACTTTGGGAGGCCGAGGCGGGTGGATCACGAGGTCAGGAGTTCAAGACAAGCCTGGCCAACATGGTGAAACCCCATCTCTACTAAAAATAAAATCAGCTGGGCGTGGTGGCGGGCACCTGTAATCCCAGCTACTCAGGAGCCTGAGGCAGGAGAATCGCTTGAAACCAGAAGGCGGAGGTTGCAGTGAGCCGAGATTGCGCCACTGCACTCCAGCCTGGGCAAAAGAGCGAAACTCCGTCTCAAAAGAAAAAAAAAACAAAAATTTAAAAATAAATAAAAATAAAAAACCCAAACAAAAAAGAAAGGAGGCAGGGGAGAGAAATGAAGGACCTCCCAGCTCTAGGTCTGCCAGAGAGAGAGATGGGATACCTCTTTGTCCTCCACAAGAAGATCATCACTGTAACTATACTCTGATCCCTCCTACCCCCGGTTTCCCTGGCACACTTGGAGACCTGGGAAGTCACAGGTGGGCCATAGAAGGCTCAGTATATGCCTCTCCTTGTAAACAGGCAGCCCTGAAGCAGCTTCCTAGGAACAAGGTTCCCAATATGGCGGTGATGATCAAGTCCCTGACTCGGAGCACAATGGATGCCAGTGTGGTTTTCAAAGACCCCACGGGTAAGGAATTAGGTCCTAGATTGTCTGATGAGTGGGCTCCATTGAGGACAGGAAATGAGGAGGAATCACCCTCTCCCTTTGCAGACAGGAAAACTGAGGCAGCGAGCAGCCCACTTCCCAGCCAGGGCCCATACCAGTTGCTGTGCTGCCCTTGACCCCGAGACTGATGAGCCATGTGGTATTTGCAGGAGAGATGCAGGGGACAGTGCACAGGTTGCTGCTGGAGACGCGCCAGAATGAGCTGAAGCCTGGCTCAGTGCTGCTGCTGAAGCAGGTATGGGGAGCAGCTGTCTACACCACTGCCACCTAGATAGAGCCCCCAGTGTCTGTCTCCTTACCTGTCTGGCTGCCTTCCTCTACACCACCAGGCATGGAGTAGCTGAACCATTGCTAGGCCCTGGCTTGAGGAGCTGAGGGAAGGCCTGCAGCCCTTGAGCTGGCTCCCATTCTTCAAGGTGGATGGGGATGGAGGGTTGTGTTGAGGGGAGAGTGTGGCAAATGGTTCTCTGGCACCAAGGCTAGGCAGAGGACACCAAGTGAAAAGCAGGTGGGAGCCAGGTGGCCATCTGGCAGCTCCCAGTGCTCCATCAGGACACTGACCTTCCCTTTCCTTGACTCTAGATTGGAGTGTTTTCTCCTTCACTTCGAAATCACTACCTCAACGTGACACCCAACAACCTGGTCCATATTTACAGCCTGGATTCTGGGGATGGGAGCTTCCTCAAGCCATCTCAGCCCTTTTCCAAGGTAAGAGGAGCAGGATGGAACAGGGGACTGGTAGGGCCCTCCTTCTACCTGGATCTTCTGATTTCTTCCTCTCTTCCACCCTGGGGAGCAGGTGCTCTGAGGTGAAAAGGTATCTTTGGGGACAGGACCATCTCCTATCCCTCATCTGGCCGCCTGGCAGATGGCTCAGTAACAATACCTAGAGGAGCAGCTGGCTTCTTGGTGATCCCTGAGCATCTGATGGCAGGCTTGAACATCTGAGAGGATAGGAGTCACTTGAGAACTAACCAAGTAGAGGGCCCCCCAGGGGGTGGCGGCAGTAAATGACTGAGGGTCAGATCTGCTACAGGTGGCAGTGTGGAGAACAGTGAGCTACAAGTGGCCTGTCAGGTGAGGCAGCACCTGCTCTATGTCTTCCCTCTTGGCGTCTGCCTCTGCTAAGTTAGGGGAAAGCTGCACAGAACACTGGTGGGGACATCCTCTTTAGGAACTGAGACAAGCATTTGGCATTTATGGGAGGTGAGCATGGGCTTCCAGGCAGATGCACTCCAGGGTAAGAGTGCAGAGCCTGGGCTTGACATGCCCCGCCCCCACCACCTTCCTGGGATCTTGTGTACTGAAAACGTGTACTGTGACCTTGGGCAAGTCCTGTCGCTTCCCTTGCTGTTGCTTCATCTGTGGTACGTTTGACTTGATGACCTCTAGTCACCGTAGAGGTTTTCGTCTAAGCTCCAACTTTCCACTTCCATTTTCCTCATCTTTTCCCTTAGCCCCTCCATTTTCTCTAAATCTCCCCACTTCCAAACCCTTTCTTTTTCTTTTTTTTTTGTTTTGTTTTGTTTTGTTTTTTTGAGACAGAGTCTCGCTCTGTCGCCCGGGCTGGAGTGCAGTGGCCGGATCTCAGCTCACTGCAAGCTCCGCCTCCTGGGTTTACGCCATTCTCCTGCTCAGCTCCCGAGTAGCTGGGATTACAGGCGCCTGCCAACTCACCCGGCTAGTTTTTTGTATTTTTTAGTAGAGACGGGGTTCACCGTGTTAGCCAGGATGGTCTCGATCTCCTGACCTCGTGATCCACCCGTCTCGGCCTCCCAAAGTGCTGGGATTACAGGCTTGAGCCACCGCGCCTGGCCTTTTTTTTTTTTTTTTTTTTGAGACAGAGTTTTGCTCTGTCACCCAGGCCAGGGTGCAGCGGCGTGACCTTGGCTCACTGCAACCTCTGCCTTCCAGATTCAAGTGATTCTCCCAGCTCAGCCTCCCAAACAGCTAGGACTACAGGCACATGCCACCATGCCTAGCTAATTGTTTTTATATTTTTAGTAGAGACAGTTTCGCCATATTGGCCAGATTGGTCCTGAACTCCTGACCTCAGTTGATCGGCCTGCCTCGGCCTCCCAAAGTGCTGGAATTATAGGCATAAGCCACTGTGCTCGGGCTATTTTTCTTTTAAATTTCAAATTATCTATACTCATTGAAATAAATCAAAATAGGCTGGGCGTGGTGGCTCACGCCTGTAATCTCAACACTTTGGGAGACCGAGGCGGGTGGATCACAAGGTCAGGAGATCGAGACTATCCTGGCTAACATGGTGAAACCCTGTCTCTACCAAAAATACAAAAAAATTAGCTGGGCATGGTGGTGTGCACCTGTAGTCCCAGCTACTTGGGAGGCTGAGGTAGGAGAATGGCCTCAACTCGGGAGGCGGAGCTTGCAGTGAGCCGAGATCGTGCCACTGCACTCCAAAGCCTGGGCGACAGAGCGAGACTGTGTCTCAAAAAAAAAAAAAAAAAAAAAGAAGAAATAAATGAAAATAGCACAGAATAAGCGAAAAATGGATCCCAGCCTTCCCCACTCCTATTTCCTAGGGCTAAGCATGGTTAACCATTTAATTACCAGTATTTATTTAGTTTTTTGAGATGGAGTCTCACTCTGTCACCCAGGCTGGAGTGCAGTGGTGTGTTCTCAGCTCACTGCAACTTCACCTCCTGGGTTCTAGTGATTCTCCTGCCTCAGCCTCCTGAGTAGCTGGGATTACAGGTGCACGCCACCACACCTGGCTAATTTTTGTATTTTTAGTAGAGACGGATTTCACTATGTTGGTCAGGCTGGTCTCGAACTCCTGACCTTGTGATCCGCCTGCCTTGGCCTCCCAAAGTGTTGGGATTACAGGCGTGAGCCACCACGCCTGGCCTAGTTTTTGTATTTTTAGTAGAGATGGGGTTTCACCATATTGGCCAGGCTACTCTCAAACTCCCAACCTCAAGTGATCCTCCTGCCTTGGCCTCCCAAAGTGCTGGGATTACAGGTATCAGCCACCGTGCCTGGCCTTAATTATCAGTTTTACTTACCTGTCCATATATTAGCTATATATTCCTTTGGGGATTGTTAACAGCTAATTTTAAATCTTAGGTTAACTCAATGTATTTCTGAATGACCTCTTCACTGTCTGCTCTAGTTATATAGAATCCCTAAAACATCAGATACCAACAGAACTAGAAAAGAAAATCAGCCAAAAGAGGTTTTTTTTTGTTTTGTTTTATTATCTGCTGCTTTGGGTGTTTGGTGTTTCAGCTCCCTCCCTTCAGCATGGGCCTGGGTGGCTGGCCCCTGCCATACTCTTCCGTCATATACTCTTCCATCATATTTCTTTCTTTCTTTCTTTCTTTTTGCAGAGAGGGTCTCACTCTGTTACCCAGGTTGGAGTGCAGTGACACGATATCGGTTCACTGCAACCTCTGCCTCCTGGATTCAAGCGATTCTCATGCCTCAGCCTCCCGAGTAGCTAGGATTACAGGCGCGCACCACTATGCCTGGCTCTGTTTTTGTATTTTCAGTAGAGACGTGGTTTCACCATGTTGGCCAGGCTGGTCTCGAACTCCTGACCTCAAATGATTCACTGGCCTTGGCCTCCCAAAGTGCTGGGATTACAGGTGTGAGCCACCACACCTGGCCCCATCATGTTTCTTTCCTGAGCCCCCCACTGTTCCTTTGAGGTTGTCTGGGTAGAGATGATGCCACCTGAAGGGATTTCAGGGTCACAGGCATTGGTAACCAGATCCTCTGTCCCCAGGATTCAGGGAGCTTCCAGCATGATGTGGCTGCAAAGCCCGAGGAAGTCTTCAGAACAGCACAGAAACTAGAGGCAGAGGCGTCCCCTGAGGAAGAACTCTCAGAAGCAGGTAAGGCAGTCAGCCCATCTGGGAGCAAGAGAGGTTCAATTTCCTGTTGAATAGCTGAACCAGAATCTTCCTGGCTACATCTTGTTCCTCTTTCCATGAATCTTTGGATCTTATATAATCTTACAGAAATCAGATACAGTGTCTTGTTTGACAAGGCTGCAGGCCACAAACTCATTAACAGTGTGATGGGGCCGCATAAAACAAAGCGTCATCCACAGGTTTCCCCCATTTTCAGGTTATGTGCCATCAGCCACAAGGAGGAAACATCATCCCCTGTCCAGATGGACAGGTGCTATCTTTGTGCCACACTCTGAGTCCTCCGTGGGCTGACGACCGGACCACAGAGGCAGATTTCCCATCCTGACTAACCTTAGAGGAGTGCTGAGGAGTCAGACGTCCACGTGGTTTTTGAGAGAACCAGGCTACAAACCAGAGAGGCCCAAATGCAGACCCCTTGTGGTTGGGCCAGCTGCTTCCTCAGGAGGCAACATCACCCAGGTGAAACTAACACCATTCATGATCTAGTTTTAGCTTTTTTTATTTTTATTTTAATTTTTGAGACAGGTCTCATTCTGTTGCCCAGGCTGGAGTGTAGTGTTATGAACATGGCTCACTGTAGCATTAGCCTCGCAGGTTCAAGCAGCCCTCCCATCTTAGCCTCCCGAGTAGCTGGGACTACAGGCATGTGCCACTATGCCCAGCAATTTTTAAATTTTTTGTAGAGACAGTTTTGCCATGTTGCCGAGGCTGGTCTCGAACTCCTGGGGCTCAAGTGATCCTTCTGTCTCTGCCTGCCAGGGTACTGGGATTAGAGGCATAACCTATCATGCCCAGCCTGGTCTTTAGCTTTTCAATTCCAAAAATTCAATGCTGTCTGGCCCCAAAGTTTACAGGATTATTTGTGGGCAGAAACCTACCCAGGTGCCAAGGCAAGAGACTGAAGGCACAAACTGTTCCAGTATAATAAAGAAAATAGAATAAGAAAAGTTATACTAGAAATAGGATATAGAGATGATTATATATGGATATTACCAATCATTAGTTTTTAGTACTAATCTCTGCATTATCATTGTAACCAAGAAAAGGACCAGCCAATACAGAGTCAGGAGCTGAAGAGACATTGTGAGAAGTGACCAGAAGACAAGAGTTGGGTGCCAGATGTAGGGTCCCGGCCTAAAGACTTTAATACTTTCACTGATTCGCTACTGCTATCTTCCAAGAACTTAAAAGAAGAACCAGGGGCCGGGCGCGGTGGCTCAAGCCTGTAATCCCAGCACTTTGGGAGGCCGAGACGGGCGGATCACCAGGTCAGGAGATCGAGACCATCCTGGCTAACACGGTGAAACCCTGTCTCTACTAAAAAATACAAAAAACTAGCCGGGCGAGGTGGCAGGCGCCTGTAGTCCCAGCTACTTGGGAGGCTGAGGCAGGAGAATGGCGTAAACCCGGGAGGCGGAGCTTGCAGTGAGCTGAGATCCGGCCACTGCACTCCAGCCTGGGTGACAGAGCGAGACTCCCGTCTCAAAAAAAAAAAGAAGAACCAGGTTTGCAGGCGGAACATAAAGTGGACAAGGAGTGTGACCACTGAAGCACAGCACCACAAGGAGAAGTTTAAGCCTCTGGATGACTGCGGGCAGGCCTGGCTAATGTCAGGCCTCCCACAAAAGCTGGTGGAGCAGAGTGTTCTCTAACTCCCCCAAGGAAAGGGAGACTCCCTTTCCCAGTCTGCTAAGTAACGGGTGCCTTCCCAGGCACTGGAGCTACCGCTAGACCAAGGTGTCCTCAAGCAGCCCTTATCAGGGTGTGACAGAGGACTTTCACTCTTGTCTTCTGCTCACTTCTGGTTGGTTTTTTTCTCGGTTACAATGATAATGCAGAGATTAGTACTAAAAACTAATGATTGGTAATATCCATATACAGTCATCTCTATGTCCTATTTCTAGTATAACTTTTCTTATTGTAACTATTTTCTTTATTATACTGGAACAATTTGTGCCCTTCAGTGTCTTGCCCCGGCCCCTGGGTAGGTTTCCACCCACAATTATAGATAGGTGTTCTCACACTACCTAATTCACAGTATACCAATGGATGAACCACAAAGGCCATTATATCTTGTGAAAAAGCGTATGTCCCTTATCCTAGAATCTTGCATTGCCTGGGAGCCTGCACTCTTTGTGAGACAAGCCAAGGCATCACCAGAATGCCAGAAGGTTGCTGGTAGTCACAGAGAATTGACTATAGAATATTAGGGCTGGTGGGCTGGATGCAGTGGCTCACGCCTGTAATCCCAGCACTTTGGGAGGCCAAGGCAAGTGGATCATGAGGTCAGGATATCGAGACCATCCTGGCTAACACGGTGAAACCCTGTCTGTACTAAAAATATAAAAAATTAGCTGGGCGTGGTGGTGGGCACCTGTAGTCCCAGCTACTCGGGAGGCTGAGGCAGGAGACTGGTGTGAACCCGGGAGGCGGAGCTTGCAGTGAGCCGAGATCACACCACTGCACTCCAGCCTGGGCGACAGAGAGCCACCCCGTCTCAAAAAGAAAAAGAAAAACAACAACAAAAACAACAACAACAAAATATATATATATATATATATAGGCTGGTGTCACATCTTCAGTGTAGGGACAGACCTTTGAGCAGGAAGCTACTAATGGTGGCCCAACAGTGCTGAAGACAAATACTTATTCTTTTTTTTTTTTTTTTGAGACGGAGTCTTGCCCTGTCGCCCAGGCTAGAATGCAGTGGTGCGATCTCAGATCACTACAACCTCTGCCTCCCTGGTTCAAGCAATTCTTCTGCCTCAGCCTCATAGTAGCTGGGATTACAGGCACGTGCCACCACACCCGGCTAATTTTTGTGTTTTTAGTAGAGACGGGGTTTCACCGTGTTGGCCAGGCTGGTCTCAATCTCCTGACCTTGTGATCCGCCTGCCTCAGCCTCCCAAAGTGCTGCGATTATAGGCATGAGCCATTGCACACAGCCCAAATACTGATTCTTGATTCTTACCCTGATTCCTAGTTTCCTAGCCCAAGCCGATTGCCATTCCCCTTCATTTCATACCGTGTTTCTCTAGACAGTCACGGTGTAGTTAATGCAGGGGAACTTTTTTTGTTATAAGCAAATTCCAGTCCTACCTCCCTGGGTACAGTGCCAGTCGCCATAATGAAATTGTGAATGCTCCCCAAACTAACTTTTGTCCTTCCTTCCAGCAGTGATATTTACTGAGTGCTCTTGCCAGATGAAGAGCTAGGCTCTTGGGTGTAGCTTACAGACGTCTAAGTTACTCCCAGGGTTTTCTGATCCCATCCAGTAGGCAGGAGTTTTCTAGTTGGCAGCAGTGGCTCTGGTGTCAGATGGAGCCTGAGTATGCTCACCTTGGGCAAGTTGTTTTACCTCTTAAAAGCTTGTTTCAGGTAAAGTGGGGTTGATAACAAGAGCTACCCGGAGATGCCCTACCTATGAATGGTTATTGAGGCACACAGCAAGCACTCAGTCAGTATTAGCTGCTGCTAGTAAACAATATTGCTAGGGATTATTGAGGTCAGCTGTGTCCAAGTTCTCAGACATAAGTACCACATCTGAGAACTGTAGTCTAACACAGGCACTTTGAGGAAGGGGGTGATACTTTCCACTGTCAGATGAGAAGCCAATTAAGGAACTGTGCAACTCTGAACACATCTAATGGCTTTTCCCAGCCCTCTTTCTCCCTCAGCCAATGAGGGTTGCACTAGGTGACCTCTGAAGCCTTCCTGTTTGGCACTATGACTGGATGGAAGGAGAGGAATCAGTGAGTCCCAGGGGAATTCTCTTCCTCATCAGAATGGCCCAGGGATTACGCCCCTGCCTTTTGTCATATATGGGTACAGGGGGAGCAGAGGGAAGATTGAAGTCAGGCCAGCCTCAGGCCCATTGGCATGGGTACCACTGCCTGGAGGAGCTGCCTGTCCAGCTATACAACCAGGCCCAGGCCCTCCTGAAGGGCAGAAACTTTGGACCTGAGTCATATGGAACCCTGATGTCACTAAGGCTACCCATCATTCCCCTCTCTGTAGATGACCTGGATGGACTCCTGAGTGAGCTTCCTGAGGAATTCTTCTGTGGGACCAGTAGTTGAGACTGCCCCAACACAGGACACGCACCGTGAGCAGGCAGCTCTGGGCGTGTCTGGTCACGTCCAAGGGGGAGAAGAAGGCCAGCATGATTGGAGAGTGGACACAGCGGGGGGCTTCTGTGGTTGCTCCCACCCTGGGTGTTTTCCCTGAGAGCCCCCTCATCTCTGCGCTGCCCTCACTTTGGGCCTTCCTTTGCTGTTGGCCCCAGAATCTGGCCCGAGACTGGCTCTCCAGCCAACAGGAAAGGCATGTCACCCTCGTCTTGGGTGTCCCTCTCCTGCCTCAGCTTAACTTTAGAGGATACTGGGCCTGGTTTTCTTGTCCCTTCATACCCGAGTCCCTGGACAGCTGAGGAGCCGAAAGAAGCCACACCACAGCAATGGCGGCCTGCCCCTCTGCACAGGGGAGGAGCATGCTCAGGCTTCCTCTGCTTTGTCTCTTCAGACCTGTGGTTGCTCTGCTCATCCGTGCCCAAGGTTCCCAGGTGCAGGACAGAGGTGTGGCCTATTGTACCTTGTTCTGAAATAAAGCAGCTCCTGCTTCTTCTGCCTCCCTTTCCTTTCCACCCCCTGCTGCTTCCTGCCTGCCCTGCCAGTGCTGTGTGGCCACAGAAGGGCTCAGGCAACTGTTTATCTCTTTTTTTTTCTTTTTTATATAGTTTTAGACTTATAAATTTATAGACTTATTGCAAAGAGAGTACAGAGAGTTCCCACATACCCCACACCCAGTTTACCAGTTATTATTTTATTTATTTATTTTTGAGATGGAGTCCCACTCTGTTGCCCAGGCTGGAGTGCAGTGGCGCCATCTCCACTCACTGCAACCTCCACCTCCCAGGTTCAAGGGATTTTCCTGCCAGCTGGGCGTGGTGGCTCACACCTGTAATCTCAGCACTTTCGGTGGCCGAGGCGGGCAGATCATAAGGTCAGGAGTTCGAGACCAGCCTGGCCAACATGGTGAAACCCCGTCTCTACTAAAAATACAAAAATTAGCGGGGCATGATGGCACGCACCTGTAATCCCAGGTACTAAGAGGCTGAGGCAGGATAATTGCTTGAACCCGGGAGGCGAAGGTTGCAGTGAGCCGAGATCACGCCACTGCACTCCAGCCTGGGCGCTGGGTGACAGGGCAAGACTCCGTCTCCAAAAAAAAAAAAAAAAAAAATTCTCCTGCTTAGCGTCCAAAGCTAGGATACAGGGCAACACGGCCACCAGCCGGCTAAATTTTTTTTTTTTTTTTGAGATGGAGTTTCACTCTTGTCACCCAGGCTGAGTGCAATGGTGTGATCTCGGCTCACTGTGACTTCTGCTTCCTGAGTTGAAGCGATTCTCCTGCCTCAGCCTCCCAAGTAGCTGGAATTACAGGCGCCTGCCACCACGCCCAGCTAATTTTTGTATATTTAGTAGAGACAGGGTTTCACCATGTTGGCAAGGCTGGGCTTTAACTCCTGACCTCAGGTGATCCGCCTGCCTTGGCCTCCCAAAGTGCTGGGATTACAGACGTGAGCTACCGCGCCCAGCCTAATCTTTGTATTTTTAGTAGAGATGAGGTTTTACCACGTTGGCCAGGCTGGTCTGACACTCCTGACTTCAGGTGATTCACCCACCTCAGCCTCCCAAAGTGCTGGGATTACAAGCGTGAGCCACCGTGCCCGGCAATTTTTTTGAGACAGGGTTTCTCTCTGTCACCCAGGCTGGAGTGCAGTGGCACAGTCATAGCTTACTGCAGCCTCGACTTTAATGGGCTCAAGCAATCCTCCTGCCTCAACTTTCCAAGTAGCTGGGACTACAGGCAGCACCACTATGGCTGGCAAATTTTTAAATTTTTCGTAGAGACAAGGTCTCGCTGTTGTTGCCCAAGCTGGTCTCAAACTCCTGTGATCCTCCTGCCTTGGCCTCCCAAAGGGCTGGGATTACAGGTGTGGTCTCCCCTATTATTGACACCTTATGTTAGTATGGTACATTTGTCACAGTTAATGAACCATTATTGATACATTATTAACTAAGCTCCATACTTTATTCAGATTTACTCAGTTTCCCCCTAATGTCCTTTTCCCCTCAGAATCCCATTTCACAATCATCCTGACTCTTGGATGTGATGTTTCTCAGACCTTCCCTGTTTTTAATGACTTTAATTAACAGTTTTGGGGAGTACCAGGCAGGCATATGGTAGGATGCCCCTCTCTCAGGATTTGTCTGATGTTTCCTCATGATTAGACTGGGGTTCTGGGTTTTGGAGAGGAAGACCAGAGGTCAGGTGCCATTCTTGCCACATCTTATCAAGGGTTCATGCTGACTTTGATCACCTGACTGAGGTAAGCTTTGCCAGGTTTCTCCACTGTAAAGTTACTCCTTTTTCTTCTTTCTGTACTGGACCCTTTGGAAGGAAGTCTCTGTGTGCAGCCCACATTTAAGAATTGGGGAATTATGTTCTACCTCCTTAAGGGCAGAATTCTATACAGTTTATTTGGAATTCTTCTGCGTGGGAGATTTGCCTGTTCTCCCTCATTTATTCATTCATCCATTTATATCAGCATGGACTCACAGGTATTTATTTTACACTTCGGCATATAATCTCAAACTACTTAATTTTGTTGCCAAGCAACTCTTCGTTGCTGTGGCTTCTCTGTACCACTTTTCAGACTAGAGGTGGACAAGGGGCATGGGTGGGTTGTAAAAGGTCTAATTATATCAAGTTGCCAACCTTGTTTTCCTTTCTGGAAGGAGAGTTGGGAAAACTCTCCCAACTCATGGGCAACAGGAGGCAGGTTAAAGAGCCCAGTTTGGGCCAGGCGTGGAGACTCACGCCTATAATCCCAGCACTTTGGGAGGCCAAGGTGGGAGGATCACTTGAGCCCAGGAGTTCAAGCCCAGCCTGGGCAAGGTGGTGAGATGCTGTCTCTTGAATAAGTAAATAAATAATAAATAGCAGGCTGGGCGTGGTGGCTCATGCCTGTAATCCCAGCACTTTGGGAGGCTGAGATGGGAGGATCACAAGGTCAGGAGATAGAGACCATCCTGGTTAACATGGTGAAAATACAAAAAAACTAAAAATACAAAAAAACTAGCCAGGCATGGTGGTGGGCACCTGTAGTCCCAGCTACTTGGGAGGCTGAGGCGGGAGAATGACGTGAACCCGGGAGGCGGAGGTTGCAGTGAGCCGAGATCGTGCCACTGCACTCCAGCCTGGGTGACAGAGTGAGACTGCCTCAAAGAATAAAAATAAAAAGAATAAATAGCCCTGTGTGACTGCCAGCCCCTCCTGTCTTAGGCTCAGCCTGCACTAAGCAGCTAGGAGACAGAGGCCTTCCATGGGCATGGGCTTGGCACTCCTCTGCGGGGAAAGTGTTAATCTCCTTTTCCCAAAGAGGCTGATCCCATGGATTCCAGTTTTTTGTTGTTGTTTTTAGAGACGTGGTCTCACTCTTTCACCAAACTGGAGTGCAGTGCAGTGGTGTGATCATGGCTCACTGCAGTCTCGATCTCCTAGGTTCAAGCAATCCTCCTATCTCAGCCTCCCAAGTAATGGACTACTGGTGCGTGCCACCACGCCCAGCTAATTAACAAAATTTTTCTGTAGAGATGGGTCTTGCTGTGTTGTCCAGACTGGTCTTGAACTCCCAGGCTCAAATGATCCTTCCCACCTCAGCCTCCCAAAGTGCTAGGATTACAGGTGTGAGCCACAGCACCCCACTGGATCCCAGTCTTAAGGCTGAAGTGAGTAAGTGCTTTGAGAACTCCATGTTCACTTACCTGCTGATTACAGCAGGGCCCTGTTCTAGAAGGCTTCTGTGCCACAAGGCCAGGGCAAGAGGGGGCTAATTCCCCTGCACCCTGGTCCCTTCACATTCCCATTGGGTCTTTCTACCTGAACCTACCATGCACTTCTTTCTCTCCCACCTTCCACTCCCTGCTGACTCCCCATCTACAATGGGATCTTCCTGCACCTAAACCCCCACAGCTGGGAGTGGCAGCATGCACCTGTAGTCCCAGCCACTTGGGAGGCTGAGGTGCGAGAATCACTGGAGCCTAGAAGGTTGAGACCAGCCTGGACAACATAGGGAGATCTCATCTCTAAAAAAATAAAAGCCCCCCTGTGCCTTGGGCCTGTTCCCCATTCTCGACACCCATGAGCCCCTGTCTCCCTGCTCAGTCCTGATCAATCCCATGCTCACCTCCTGGCTTCTGGTGTGCTTCACCACCCCACAGGCTCTGAGCTCCCAGAAGGCAGGCTGGGCATCTGATCACCTGGCCCTCTTCCCTCCAGGTTGAAGTCAAGGCCTCCTTTCTCTGCCCTCAGGAAGCTAAGGGGACTGAATACAGTGGTATCTCGAGACTGAGCTGTTAGGGTACCTAGCTCCTTCAGGCCTGTGTGGCAAGAAGGCAGGGGAGAGGCTAGGCTATGACTGTTGTGTGCCTCAGGGAGGAAGCAGACGCCCACCTGCCTTGGTCCCTCTTGGTCCCACCCAGCCTTGCCAGATTCTCAAGCCTGGGAACCCAGCTGTGGGTGCCCAGCCAGGTCGTTGGCGGGGCAATTAACACACCGAATGAGTGCCAACAGGGTTAATCATGGCTGCATTTATAGAGGTGCCGTTCTCTGAGAACCTCCAAGCTTTGCTTTGTATGATCTCATTCCTCTTCTGGAATCCCCCACCCTGGAATGCCACCAAGAGGCTGGGGCCAGGCAGAGAACGGGTGAACAGGGGGGTAAGGGCAGTGCCGGAAAAAGCCCAGGCTGCTGCCACCCACTTGGGCAGGCAGGTGGATGGACAAGTGTTTGCTCTGGCAGAGAATAGGGACCTTCGTTCAATGCGCTACACATAAGAGGCCCACGTGCCATGAGCCAAGTGCTCGGACTGTGCCAGGGCCTGCTCTGGAGCCCACATCCAGCATGGCAGACCCACATCAACAGCACGGATAGGTGTTTTACAGTGTGCCCCTGATTCCTTCAGGAGTGCAAACTGGGCAGTGGCTGCAACTATAGGGGTCGGGCAACGAGTTGCCGAAGAGACCTCAGAGCAGGTGACCTTAGGGGTAGATCCTCAGGAAGGGGTTGAGGGAGTTCTGAGCCAAGTGAATGGCCTGACAGGGAATGGTTGTGGGGAGCCGTGTGTGATGAGGATGCCTATCCTACGTGAGTGGCATGGGGTCAAACCAAGGAATTGGGGGCTTAGTTGAAAAAGGCAGGCCGGGTGCAGTGGCTCACACCTGTAATCCCAGCAATTCAGGAGGCCAACTTCGGAGGACTGCTTGAGGCCAGGATTTGGAGCCCTATTTAAAAAATAAAAGGAAAGAATAGGTATTGGAAGTCAGCAGAAGTTTTAAAGCAAGGGAATTAACTATTTTAGATCATTCCGGCAGCAGGGCAGAAGGGATATGGCCAGAGGAAGAAACACCGGGTAAGAGGCTGAGTTGATTCAGGTTTGAGGGGCTGAACTTGAGGCTGCGCCTGAAAATGTGAGGCTGGGAGCTAGAACTTGCTTGTGGGAAGGGCCTAGGGAGAGGAAGAAATAAAAGACCACTGGGCAAGGCGCTGCTGCAGGGCCAGGAGGCGGGACAGGTATCAGGAGGAGCCCCAGACGCAGAGGGGACAGACCAGCCCTGCCTGCAGGCCGCTGTGCACTGAGTGAGCTCAGGGTGAGCAGAGCTTTTGAGGCAGTGCCCTCCCCTTCCCCAGCTTGGCAGGCACACCAGCTTGTGTGGTTTCATGGCTTCATTCCTCCCCCTAGAGGCTCCTGGAAGCACAACTGCTTTTTCTTAAGAGTGAACAGGTCTGTGGCTTGAACATCTCAGGTCCATTCCCAGAGTTTCCAGCTCAACCCCTTGGCTCTCCTCAGGCCAGCCATGTAGCCCCCTTAGCAGCTGGGTTAAAAAAATAAATCAAGAATGATTGAAGGGGCCGGGAACTGTGGCTCACGCCTGTAATACCAACACTTTGGGAGGCTGAGGCGGGCAGATCGCCTGAGGTCAGGAGTTTCAGACCAGCCTGGCCAACATGGCAAAAACTACTACTAAAAATACAAAAATCAGCTGGGTGTGGTGGCGTGTGCCTATAATCCCAGCTACTCAGAAGGCTAAGGCAGGAGAATCGCTTGAACCCCAGGAAACGGAGGTTGCAGTGAGCTGAGATCACACCACTGCACTCCAGCCTGGGCGACACAGTGAGAGAGAAAAAAAAAAAAGGATGATTGAAGGCAGTTTCTAGAGACCAGTCTGTCCTGCTTAGAGAATGGGGGAGGCTGCCAGGTGGCTGCAGCAGCTGAAGCCAAAAAGTGTACCATCTTTTTTTTTTTTTTTTTTTTGCTTAGAGAATGGGGGAGGCTGCCAGGTGGCTGCAGCAGCTGAAGCCAAAAAGTGTACCATCTTTTTTTTTTTTTTTTTTTT